TATTTTAAAAAATATACATTCCCATTGGGTGTGAGGTCTTTAATACAAGGCCCGGACAAAATTAATAGCTGCAAGGGGGTGGGGCGAAATGGAGGAGGCATATCTCTATAGCAACTAATTCCTTAGCATTTTTTTGTTTGTTTGTTTGGATTTGGCTTAACTCAACAGTTTCGTGACTGAGTTTGCCTGGGTCAGAATATTAAAACAAAACTGCTATTAAAAAACAGCTGGTTCAAGATAAGTGCATTCAAGCAATTTTTTACGTGCCTCGAACCTGACATTTTATTTTAAAAAAGCAGTATTAATGAGAGATGAACAGTGAGAAAAAGCCATTCCAGGTCATTATTTAGAAGCCTGATTTCCTTAATGAGCTATGATACTCTGCCCAGGAAAGAAATAGAAACAGGCTACCAAAATAGATCACAGCACATGATGCCAAATTAGTCATCCAATTGCTGCATCCAATTATGAAATAGCCCATCCAAATGTCACTTCACAATGTAACCCAGAAATTCCTTTTTTTCCCCCCTTGCACTCTTTATTTCATGCTTGCTTTCTAGATAGTTAAAATATTACTGTTAGTTTGGAGCGGTGCTTCTGAACCTTAACAGCTTTAAGCTGGCTGAATTCCAACTCCCAGAATTTTCCAGCCAAAATTGCAAAATTGAAGAAGGGGAATGAGTGAGACACCCACCACCTTTAAAGCTGGATGACATTCCTTTTTGCATTTGAAAGTGAACTTAGAATAGATCGCTTTGATATGGTCACTAACCAGATATGAACCCAGTTCAACAAAATTGAGAGAACTGGAGCCACAAATGACAAGTACAAGGGGTCCTTGTCTTATAACTATTTATTTAGGGACTGTTCTGTAGAAAGTTAACACCCACCCCACTCCTACAAGAATGAAATATTCTAGGAAATATTAAAAAGGCAGAATATTATGTTTCCCTGGATGAGAAAAGGAGAAACATGTTTTTAAAGACAAAGAGCAGCTCCCTGCAGCTCCCTGCCCCCAGCAGATATTTTGGTGTACATTAAGAAAGACTGGGCCAGCCTATCTACAAGACAATTAGAACTTCAGCTCCAGGGAGATGGGATTAAGACATGACCCTCAGGACATAATAGGATTAGCCCTCTACCCATCTAGCAGCATGGCTCACTGCATTGCAAAATCACCTGGGGACATTACATCACCCAGCAAGGTTCAACCAACCTTAATTCAGACAACCTCCGCTGTGACCCCTGCATAGCCCCCTGGGAGTCTGACAGCCAATAGAATACATGCCCTTGCCACAGGAACAGGAAGCTCAAGTTCAAAGCCCAAAGAGAGGCTATAAATAACACTCACTCTCCACTCCATGTGGTCAGTTACCCAGAATCACATGGCCTTGGTGGTTCTGCTTCACCATTAAATCCATCTTTCCAATCAGCCTCCATGTTTCCAGTGTCTTTCTCCCCACTTGGAACTGAATCCAGATGGACAGATCTTCCAACAGGTCAAAGTTACTACAACACTGGGGAAAAAAATTACTTATGACCCAATATGGGTCGGTCATCAGGACCGGCGGTTTTATCTTCCAAGTTTTCAGACTCATACTGGAGCCCAGCTTCCGAGAACTTCTCTCTAGCAGAGTGTGTGCTTTGGGCTGGTCTGAGTGTGGTATTTATATGGTACCTGCTGTATGTGGCTTTTTAGATATTGATTGGGCTGTTGATGGCTGGCTGTTAAGTCATTGGCTGTTGTTTGCTCCTGCTGCCAACCCCTCACCTCCTGCGTATTTGATAAGCTGGTGGTAAATCAGCACTCCTGTTGACTGAGGAGGGACCCATTCAAGTGATGGAAGCCTGGGAAATGGGCCCCTGGTCAGAGAGAGGTTCCTGAAGATGGGCTCCCATACGAGTCTGAAAGCTTGGAAGATACAATCTCTGATCCAGTAGTAGGGTCCACTTACCTTTGCTACTAGTTCGGAACTGTGAGCATGCATGACACTTGCGTGTGGCACTTCTGCGCATGTACAGAGCATCCGTGATGACATCCAGGCGGGTGGACAGAGCCACCCGCCACCACCACTACACGTTCGCCCAGTAGAAACTCACCACTGCTCTGGTCCCAGTGACCGACCCAGATGGGATCCTGCAACATTATCCTTGGACATGTAGATTTGTCTTCATTCATAACTTATGACCGTTTTTCACACTTACGACCATTACAGCATCTCCATGGTCATGTGATCAAAATTCAGGGGCTTGGCAACAGACTCATATTTATGACGATTGCAATGTCCCAGGATCATGTTATCACCTTTTGCAACCTTCTGACAAGCAGAGTCAATGGGGAAGACAGATTCATTTAAAAACCATGTTACTATTTTAACAGCTGCAGTGACTCACTTAATAACTGTGGCAAGAAAGATTGTAAAATGGGGCAAAACTCGCTTAACAAATGTCTCGCTCAGTAACAGAAATTTTGGGCTCAACTGTAGTCATAAGTCAAGGACGACCTGTGCTAGAATACTAAAACTTAAATAATGATAGTTTTAGAAGTTTCTACCTTTTGCACCATGGCTAAATTATGTGACATAGTCTCTTTCTTTCTCTCGCACGCACCCACACAACCACACATGATTTTTGAGAGTTAGGCACTACATGCATTCCAACTCAATAAATATCGTGGGAGAAATTAAGTAAATGAAAAGCAAAGTAATTAACGCCATTCATGCTAAATAGTTAAATAATACCATTAAATTCAAATTACCTTGAACTTAAGAGGCATCGAAGAGACGTTCCTGTACTTACTTTTATAGTGGCAAATGTACACCACATCTTTTTGCTCATAGGCCAAGAGTCTACAATTTAGACTCTTCCTTTATGATTCCTAGATCATAAAGGAATGATCAAAGAGTCAAAGAAAATAGACTCTTCAATGCTAAATTTATTTCATTTACTAAAGATGGAAAAACCCAAAGAACATAGAGAAGGTCAACAAGAAATAGACAAGAAAGAATGTATGTTGTTGTTCAGCCACTACATGATATGTGACTCTTTGCAACCCCATGGCATGCTAGACCTCTCTGTCCTCCAAATTCATGTTCATTGCATTTAATGCTATCTGATTCTCTGCCGTCTTCTTCTCCTTTTACCTTCAATTTTTCCCAACATCAGTGTCTTTTCCAGTCAGTCCTCTCTTCTGATTTGGTGGCCAAAGTATTTGAACTTCAGCTTCAGGATCTGTCCTTCCAAAGAACAGTCAGGGTTGATTTCTTTTGGGATGGACTGATATGATCTCCTTTCAATCCAGGGGTTCATCAAAAACAGATCATGCCAAGCAGATCTTATTTCATTCTTTGACAAAGTGACTAAATTACTGGATCATGAGATACTGCAGAATAGTATACTTAGATTTTAGTGAAGCATTTGATAAAGTAGATCACAAACCTACTTCTTGGCAAGCTAGAAAAACGTGGGATAGACAGCACTACCACTATATGGGTTTGTAACTGACTGACATATCATACTCAACATGTAGTCGTTGACAGAACTACATCCATATGGAAGGAAGTAAGCAGTGTGGTACTCCAAGGTTATGTCTTAGACCCAGTACTCTTCAATATCTTCATAAATGATCTAGACAAGGGAATAAAATGGGAACTCATCAAATTTGCAGATGACACTAAGCTGGCAGGAATAGCCAACAGCCCATAAGACAATCTCAAGATCCAAAAGGTTCTTGACAGACTTGAACATTGGACCCTATTTAACAAAATGAAATTCAACATACTGTAGATAAAAGTAAGGTTTTACATTTAGGCAGGAAAAACCCAACTGTATAGGTACTGACTAGTCACTAGGTGAATCTTGGCTTAATGCCAGTAATTGTGATAGGGATATTGGAGTTCTAGTGGACTCCAATATGAGCCAATAGTGTGCAGCAGCAGCCAAAAGAACTAATGCAATCCTAGGCTGCATTAATAGAGGGACAGAATCATGATCACATGAAGTTCTTGTACCACTTTACAAAGCCTTAGTAAGGCCACACTTGGAATACTGCATCCAGTTCTGGTCACCACAATACAAAAAAGATGTTGCGATTCTGGAAAGAGTGCAGAGAAGAGCAACAAGAATAATTAGGGGGGTGAAGGCTAAAACTTAAGAAGAATGGTTATGTCTAGTCTAATGAAAAGAAGGACTAGATGTGATAGCAATGTTCCAATATTTGAGGGATTGCCACAAAGAAGAGGGGGTCAACCTAATCTCCAAGGTACCTGAAGGCAAGACAAAAAGCAATGGATGGAAATTAATCAAGGAAAGAGCCAATTAGAACTAAGGAGAAATTTCATGACAGTCAGAACAATTAATCAGTGGAACGACTTGCCTTCAGAAGTTGTGGGTGCTCCGTTATTAGAGGATTTTAAGAAGGGACTGGACAGCCACTTGTCTGGAATGATATAGAGTCTCCTGCCTAAGCAGGGGGTTGGATTAGAAGACCTCTAAGATCCCTTTCACTAGAATAACTCAGTGGAAAACTCATTCTTATTTAGCTAAACTATGCATAATTATTTTCAGGTCAGATAAACTTGGAAGCATTCACAGCTGATGCCCTAACCCTGATTATGCATGCACTGATGTGGTCATGTGACCACTGGGAGATTTTTCTCATTGTAAATTCAGAACTGAGTTGTAAGTACTTTTGGGGTGGGGGCATCCAATATACCTTCAACTGATCGCTAAGAGTCTGGATGTAAGTCGAGGACTACCTGTACTTTATCTGATATTCTATGAAAGTTTGTCACATGGAAACGGTCGAAGTGTTTTGCATGCCTTCCATAGAAAATCCATGTTTCTCAGGCATACGGGAGAGTAGTATGGCTCTGTATCCTCCAATTTTATAAAGAGTAAAGAACATAGTGGTGAACTTGAACTTGTCACAGTAGATCCCGTTAAGGACAGCGGAGGTGCAGGATCTTATTAAAATCTCCCAATGTTTTATTCGTTTACAGGGAGCCTCAAAATCTCTACCCTCCCGAGGTTAGCAATGCAAAGCTCCAATATGCGGGATGGGGACCCAAAGGCCAACAGCTGGTAAGAAACTGTTCACTATGACTTTTTGTCTTCCTTTGCTGCAGAGTCAGTCACAAACACGAGTAAAAGGGATCCCATATGGCCTCTTGGCTTACTTTGCAGATTTAACCATGCTGATAGGTCAGGACTTAATTCAGCACTGATAGCACTTGTCTAATAGCAAGACCAATTTGCTTCTCGGTGATCCGAAGAATTCATACGCTAAAATCCAACAGAAGCAGAAGAGATTAGGGCTATAATTGAGAGGTGGTTCTAATCCCTTCATAGCAGTGGTGAAATCCAAATTTTTTTACTACCGGTTCTGTGGGTATGGTGTAGCTTGGTGGGTGTGGGAGGGGAAGGATACTGCAAAATCCCCATTCCCACCGCACTCCAGGGGAAGGATACTGCAAAGTCCCCATTCCCTTTCCACTCCTGGGGGAAGGATACTGCAAAATCCCCATTCCCACCCCACTCTGGGGCCAGCCAGAGATGGTATTTGCCGGTTCTCTGAACTGCTCAAAATTTCCGCTACCGGTTCTCCAGAACCTGTCAGAACCTGCTGGATTTCACCCCTGCTTCATAGCCACAGAAATTCCCTAGGGGACTAGGGCCAATCTGGGGCAGAGCATGGGGTGATGCAGTGGCGAAGCTCGTGAACTAAGAGTGGGGAGATCCAGGTTTTGGCTCCTCCCTCGGTCATTAAAGGCTACTGGGTATGAAGAAAAACCTAGCAGAACTGGGAGAAGCAAGACCAAGACATTATTGTGACAGAAAAGAATTCTCAGTCGAGAGCCAACTACAATTTATCTCTGCTGCTTCCCACCCCACACCCCTTGTATTTCATTGACCATAACTCAAGGATCATCATCTCTAGACATTGTGCTGGACATGGCAAGAAAGAACCTCTCTCTAACAGTCCCAGGAGCTCTTCAGATACTGCTTTGAACCCAACTATAGGTAGTCCTTGACTTAACAACCACCTCTGAGCCCAAAATTTCTCTTGCTAAGCTAGACAGTTGTAAAGTGGGTCTTGTTCCATTTTATGACTTTTCTTGCCACCAATGTTATAAGTGAAACGCTGTCGTTGTTAAGTTAGTAACACGGTTGTTAAGTGAATCTGGCTTCCCCATTGACTTTGCTTGTCAGAAAGTCACAAAAGGGGAATCACATGACCCCGGGACACTGCAACCGTCATAAATATGAGACAGTTATCAAACATCCAAAGTTTGATCACGTGACCAGGCTGATGATACCTACAGTCATATGTGTGAAAAAGTGTCATGTCACATTTTTCAATGCTGTTGTAACTTGGAATGGTCACTAAACAAAACGTTGTCTATGGAGATTCTCAGTCATCCAGGTCATGGTTGTCCCAAAGGTGCTTTTTCAAGAGGCAGCTGGACTTTCTGGTTTTCTCTGAAGACGTTTTGCTTCTCATCCAAGAAACCAGAAAGTCCAGTTGCCTCTTGAAAAAGCACCCTTGGAATAAACAAATGGTTGTAAATTGAGAACTACCTGTAGTGTGTTTGTTTATTTCAATTGTGTGCTGTGCAATTTCCTAGGCAGCCAACAGTCTCATCATAAGACAAAGGCATCTATAGGATAAAGAGAAACTAATTTGAGCATACATTAAAAAAAAGACAAATCAAAAATAGAATGCTGTGCCCTCTTTACCAATCAGATCATCCTCTCCTCATGCACTAGAGCAGTGGTAGGAATAACTTGGGCATATTCTGGAGTTCTTGGAGTAATTTTTGATCTTGTTTTCTTGGGGTGACAATGGCATTATTCAAGACTGGAAAAAGGGTGACGGGTCAAACAGTTTAAGGAACCAACAAAGAAGAATATTTGAACCTCAGAGTTGAACTGTAGATCCTGGGTGGTCTCTGAGCTTGGTGGTTTTCTTGCAGACCTTTAATTACCAAACTAAGTAACGTCATCAGTGCTACAAGGCAACAGAGTTTGCTCTCTGTTTACATAAGGTGGCTTGCCTTGTCAGTGTTGGTGGAAGTGCTGTTTTCCTCATGGATTAACACCAAGAACAATACCATACCATACTAACAATCGAGCAGTAAACAATACTCCAATGAAGGAAGTACCGGTACTAGCTCAGACAAAAGATCAAACGGAAAACAACAGCCAAATCAAGAAACCATCAAGACCACTCCCACCAAAACTGACAAGGCAAGCCACTTGTATATAAACAGAGAGAAAACTCCATAGGTGCACAGGTAGATCAATACGAGAGAAGGTGTTCCCTCCAGGTCTAACACCAGGAAGAGCCTTAAATTGAATTTACTATATATCCAACTGGCAAATAGTGCATAAGCAGAAGGATCACTCAGATATATTGAGATACAGCTGTTATCACCCAGACAGCCATGTTCCTTATGAATTGTATCTTCCAAATGTTCTTCAAGGACAGACCTGTGCACAATGCAATGTAGTAATCCAAGCAACAGGTGATTGGGGTGTGAGGAAAGCCTTTTTTAAAAAAAATTGATTTATATGCTGCCCTTCTCCGGAGACTCAGGGCGGCTTACAATGCGCTAAGCAATAGCCTTCATCCTTTTGTATATTTATACAAAGTCAGCTTATTGCCCCCACAACTGGGTCCTCAATTTACCTACCTTAGAAAGGATGGAAGGCTGAGTCAACCTTGAGCCTTGGCGAGATTTGAACCTGAAGTAATTGCAGGCAGCTGTTCTTAATAACAGGGTGCTTTAGACCACTGTACTACCAAGGCTCTATTGATCTATCTATTGATCCAAGAATGGACATTTTTAACACAAATGGTATAACTAGGCAAAGCCTTCCTTGCTAAAGCTCCAGCCTCCTTATTAAATAGAGCCTTGGTAGCACAGTGGTCTAAGGCACCCTGTTATTAAGCTAGTTATTAAGACCAGCTGCCTGCAATTACTGCAGGTTCGAATCTCGCCAAGGCTCAAGGTTGACTCAGCCTTCCATCCTTTCTAAGGTAGGTAAATTGAGGACCCAGTTGTGGGGGGCAATAAGCTGACTTTGTATAAATATACAAAAGGATGAAGGCTATTCCTGAGCACATTGTAAGCCACCCTGAGTCTCCGGAGAAGGGCGGCATATAAATCAAATAAAAAAAAAAAGGAGTTATGACTTTAGGAAGATTTCCAGTCTTCTAGCTGTCTCTGAATAGGAGAGTACAATTCCATTCGTGGTCAAAGATGGCATTTTTCAGGAATCAATGGGCCTACAAGCAAAAGTATCTCAGTCTCGGAGGGATTTAATCTGCATCTCTTCTTCCCTGACCCTGACTGACTCCAAGACACTGAGTCAGCATTTTGACTCTGTTGCCCGTTTGGCCTGGGGCCAAGAGAAATAGTTGGGTATCATCAGCACATGTAAAATATAGGTCCTCATATCAATGAATTCCTCCCCCAGCAGTTTAATGTAGATGTTAAAAAGAAGTGAAGAGAAGATGGCCCTGAGGCACTTCACAAAGTAAAGATTTCAACTTGTCACTTCAGGTCGTTCAGCCAGTGACTCAGAGGAGATCCTAAGTAGGAGATATTTCCTGGTGGGCTTTCTCAACCATGAGGAGCCAGGAATTTTCCACATTTTAATTTTGTTGTTCTTATGAGTGAATTTATCACTAACTCTGCACCCGCTTCAAAGAAACCTTGTTTTGACCTTGTCAAGCCACTCTGCCAACGCATAGCCAAAATCCTAGCTCTTAATCATTGATGCCAGCCACAAAACCATGTGCTCTCCATATCTGTAATGCAATAAAGTATAAGCAATGAACAAGGGTGTACCATTTCACAAGAAGAAAACTTAATTTACGGTGATGCCCTACATAAACATCAGTGATATTAGGTTACCGGATGCAAGATAATCCATCTTGCAGAAGTTTAAAGCATAGAGGCCACTTTGGTTAAGAAATTCTGGGAACAATATAACAAGGCAGTTAACATGCAAAAATATAGATAGTCCTCAATTTACAACCCATGTAACGATGGTGTTACAAAGGCAATGGAAAAGGCAATTTGCAATCTGTCCTTGAAGTTATGACCATCATACCACGCCAGTTGATCACAAATCAGGTACTTGGCAACCAGCTCACATATACAACTGGTTGCAGCAAGCTGCAGTGATGTGATTGCAACTTTTGACTTTCCCAGTTGGTTTCCAACAAACAATGTTAATTGGAGAAGCCAGATTCGCTTAGCGACCATGATAAATGTGAATGTAAAATCAGGTCCAGTCATATGACTTAATGACATCATCATTCAGCAACGGAAATTACAGTCCTAATTATAGCTATAAGTTGTAACTAGTTTAGAAGCCCAGGAACAATGTTCTACACAGTCATAGAAAATATTAAAGCAGAATAAAACATTATTCTGCTTTTTAATGAAAACATTAAAAAGTGTTTTCTACTTCTATAAGGGGCTAAAATGTGCAGTAGAGTTTGTGCAAAATACAAATTATTGCAAGATTTGTTGCCAAGTCCTGGTAAAAATGTGTGTGAGAGAGAGTTAGATTACTTTTAAAAAATAAATATGCAGAGGAGAGATTGTAAGGCTAAACATCAGTGGATCCTCAGAGAAGCATCAATATAATGATAATTTTTAAGATTCCAAATGAGCTATTTTTTGATTCAGCATTTAGTCTGAGGAAGACTTTTGCTGAAGGTCAGGCAGTTCCACAACATTATTTTTGCTCCAAACATTGTCAGCTTTTGGGGTATTAAAGATATTATATGCAGAAAATCCTTCTGGGTTTTAAAGATTAATATGAGCTGCTGTTCCAAAAATTAAAATAAAACCTATGTTAGTTTTAATAGAAGCTTTAGAGCTTGTTCAGCATTAGACAGAGATAGGCTACCTCAAACAGTTTTAAAGTTTGTGCAAAGTCACTATAAATCAGTGCTTAGAGCAGGGGTGTCAAACTGGCGACCCGCAGGCTGGATGGATCACATGCAGGCCACTCCCACCCCAGCTCCGCGAATGGAAAAAAGTCACAAAAGTCACGTGACGGCA